ACGATAACGCCTCACTCGGTTACTGTCCTCCTCGTACTCCGGCTGAAGTGCAAATCCCTCAACTCCAGACATTCGTGTCCACATCTTCATGAAGACCTGAAGTGAGGAAAAGATTCACAACTGTAAGGGATGTGCAAACCATTGTGTATACAACCTGACACACAAAATGCTATCATGTGACATGCACAATACGCCTATACCGCACTACGATGACACCTAAGTGATCGGCGAGCTCGATCTCCTCCTCCAACCACTCATCACCGATGTCCAACAACTCCTGCTCGAACGCTTCCAGATCACGATAGGATGTCCATGTTTCCATGTCGGATGGTGAACAATCTGCACTCGTGAAGAGAATGATCACTTCTGTAATGCAATCGTTCGACCAAAGGTGTTTGCGGGCCAGCCATACGAGCTCGGCCCTGATCTTGCGGAGTGGCCTGCCCTCATCTGTACCGTCATCACTACGCGAATCTGGCTCCCTGCCGCTGTCTGAACGCGGATCAACTTCGACAGCTCTATCCGCCGACCGAGCCGGAGGGGCTCGCTCTGTATGGTGGATAGCTGCATGCGCATCAGGGTCCCGAAAGAACCTCCCGTGTGTGAAACCATCTCTAGCGCGGCGGGCTTGCTCGGCAAGGCACTTTTGGTTCGTACTCATATGCCCAACAAGACCGCCATGAGTCTTTGTGGTTCGCCCACACCACTCGCACGTTATCATTCCTACGACCCGCGCGAGTCGCCTGCTACAATGGCCCCTTATTACGCTGGCGGAACTAAGACGGGAGAGGGCATGGCCTATCCAAGACTGCCTTGTGCGGCTATAAGGCGATTGACGCGCAAACCCTAATACGTCTTGGTATTTGGGTGTTGTGCAACCTGGAGTACACATACTGTAAGCGTACCTATGTGTACGCCTATACGCTATAATACAATCAGATTCCACGTGTTTTAGCCACTGGCATAAATGCTTGTTGAAAATTCTCATCGCTGTCCAGCACAACGTGTCAATAAACCTACAATTACTCACTGAGAGCAGCAATCACAGCCCATGGCTACCTTGCTCACGATAGTACGCGTGATTTTTCCTTACACTAATGCCCGCCACGGCTGCTATTTGCATTAGGGCCGGAGATAACCTATCCACAATACGCATGAACAATGCAGCGTGCTCAAAGTCGGGCATCTCCGTCAAGCCTGCAGGCACATCATAAATCCCCCACTACGGTCAGAACTGATTAAAATTTACAAGGCAAGCAGATGAACCTGGGAATTATTTGGCAGCCTAGCCGCAATGGTCATACCACTAAGGGCAGCAACAATCGATGCGGTGGACTCGGCTGCACCAACATTTCCCATGGTGGACGTTGTCGCAGTCGGTGCAGGCATTGCTTGCTCCTCTGTGTCATCAACGCGTACGAACCGTCATAACGTAGCGTGCTTCAATGATGGGCGTAGCAACATCCTAGTATGATCACTCACCAAGTGGTGGTCCTGATCCCTCAAATGCCTCTGGCTTGTCAGCAGTTATCCCTGTGGGTGCTGTAGGCTCCCGGTCAGCCCTGCCACTTCCCGATGCCTTCATTGCAGTTGCCTCATTTGGAATACCTGCGCTCGGAAATAGAATAGTAGCCCCGGCGAAAGTGGATCCTTGGTCATAACAATACCAGGTTTAGAAATAACCAGCTCAATACGCGCTTACACTGGGGTGACCTCGCGGGTGCAGGCATCAGAATCGTCTTTCCATGAGTAACAGGAGACCCTATGTTGCACTTTGGTGCCTCAGGGCGCTCGTGACACGTCCCACACTATGCGTCGTCGAGGCTCTATCCCTGGGCGTGATGCTGAGCTGGATACTCCTCATTCGTACCATATACGTGGCGAGGAGTTTCTTGTGATGGCATTTTGGCCTTCTTGCACGGACGGTTCGCCTCGCGCCCCGCAGGCGACTTCCCAACGGCAGTCGCAGGCGACCGTGATAGAAACCCTAAGGCCGTGTAACTACGAGGGTCAACTGGCGATCGGGAAGGTGCAGGTGCCAAACAGTGTGACGGTGGTACTCGCTTTAGTACGGTTGTTCATGGCGTTCGCTGTCCGTATAGTTTGGATTGAGAACACACCGCCTTTACGGCAGCATACAAAAGTACATGTGTGTGAGCACTCACCAACCTAATCAAAGCACACTATCTTACAAGAACATGCCAACGATGCTTTAGTCACATTCAACACCATCAATCATTATATCTGTCTTGGAAAAAGCAGTGTTTGTCTTACAACTATGCTACCCCACACAAGTACTAAGATTCATTCAAGATTTCTTCCTCTGCTCCCTATAATAGTTACCCCACAGCAAAAAATAAGTCCGCAACTCCTCCCACCAGGATGAACCATACAGTGTAATACGGTCGGGACTGGCAAAGTCCGTCTCCACTAGATGCTGCATGTACTTGATGACGTGGATGCCACAGTCCCAGTCATTGGGATGTTGTGTCGCATGCGAAACCATATAACACAATCGTTGTTGAATGGATTATTAGCTGTGCACTAGGACATGGCTAAACGCCAAACAGTAAAAGCACAAACGGATGGGGGTCTTACGTCGACTGTACATTGCTTCAGCCCCGCTTCCCATGTGTCCGTCTGGGAGTCAGAAACCCAGGGGTGGTACGCCCTTAGTTGTTGCTTGAGATAACTGTGGGTGGAACACGGGGTGCTTGCTTGGTAACGTATAAGTCACTGCACGAGTGTTAGCCACAAGGCACCATTCGACAAACGAAAGAACTCACCGTCGTATGGGGGCGTTGAAACCTGAATGCATGCTCGCAGAATCAGCGTGCCAAATGCGCGTGGGGAGGGGCAGGTAGTCCTTTTTAGCATCCTGGTCGTTCTGTAGGATGACTGGGCTCCAATGATTACTGTACACCGCATATAACAGTGTCAGCCATTCACATGGAGGGAAGGGCATTGACGGCTTATAGGGAAGCGTACTCAAGATGGATCGAGATGAAAGCCCATCCATAGGATAGAATGTTGTCCCCAGTAGCGTACTGCATAGTTGTGGTCGTTGCTTTTGGCAGACTGATGAGCGGGTAGAACAACGTCTCACAGTAAATCCATGCCTGATCGTCATCGTGGGCGTTGTAATTAAGCAATCTGCGCAGCGCCATGTTGTCGTTACAGCACTGAGTCGGAATCTATCACAAGAGATTCATTTGAGCACGCGTATACTAATAGTACAAACCACTCTATAATACCGCCAGACAGCCATTCTTCAACCTCCAGTGTTCTAGCCTGCTCACGACCAAGTGCCAGATATGAGCGATATTCGGGGTAGGGCATAGAATACGGGATGAACGTTGCGGTTGTCGCGTCAGATGTAGCCATGGCGATGGTCAGTCCTATGGGCACAGGTGAATTGAAAGGGTTTGCTAGTACCAACTACTCGTTGCCCCGTTAGAGGGTTCCTTGTTACAGGTGATAGGCAATGGCAATAAAAACGATACATGAAATATTTGTTGGGGTAAACTGACCCACTGGATGATGAGCGTCGCATCAATGTGGTTGCCCCCGAATGACGGCGGCGCATTGCTTTGTGACACGTGTGTGGTCTAACCTGGGTGAGTTATCCAACTTTGTAATTGTCGAATGATGTGATGGTCGTGATGGCGCTGCTCCCCTGCACCGATAGGGTCGCACTGGACGCGGCATCGAGTCCCTCTATAGCCATCAAGTCACGGTACAGTCACCCTCATCAACCCTAGGGGTTCGGATGAGGCCGAAACTGTTCACGGGGTTTTCGGTTAGCCTGGCCGCAACTGGCGGATATCGGTGGATTGACACCAGTTTTTCCACGGTTTAGGAGTGGTCAGTGAGAGACTCTGCAGCGCTGTAGCTCGCAGTCCCCTTGCCCAGCAGTGACTAATCGGTACGTTAGTTTGACTTCCTCCATTAATCTAATATGAGCCAAACAGTTAGTGCTGCATGCTCTAGAGATACTCGTGGATGGCTGAGACGTCCGGCGCATGTATTGGCTTCGGGAGATTTTGTTGCCGCGACCCCACGCACGCGTGCGGCGGACCGGACGTGGCAAGCAGAGGCCCGCGAATGTCGCTGCATTGCTAGGGATTTTGTGAGCTTGCATAGATTGCCTCGCGGGCACTTGTTGCCTTGGGCATCCTTCTCTATTCCAATCCCTGTGAAGGAGGACGAGACTGGAGAGAACGACAACCCTTATGGCTTGTCCGGTGAAACACTGATCACAGAACGGGCGCTGCAAAAGAACTGCTCAAGAGGGAAATCCGAGGAGCGCAAGCCGGTGAAGGCGGACACATCTCTGCCTCCCACAGGTGTGCAAACATCGACCCCGCATTACTTGTCCGCATGTTATCCTGTCACAATCATTGCGCTGCTTTGGAGGTGCAGATCAGGTAGATGCTCCAGATGCTCGGATGTGTCAGTGTTCTATCATCCCTAGTACCTGTCGTGCAGGTGATTGTAACGAGCACGCAGCTGGATTGGAGTGCACGGAAGTGGGTGGTCCTGACGGCGGGGATGTGACGTCTACTGCATGGTATCACTACTAATCCGTCCTGTATGGGGCCGTACGTTTGTCGTGCACCATGGATGGCTCTGATGGACGCACTGGCACCGTGTCCAGATCGTGCGACACCGTATCGGAGCATGGCGGCGACTCTAGCGACGAGGAATGGTCGCCGTCCACTGACGTCGGCGCGAGTGGGTATGAGTCGGAAACAAACATTAATGTCGTGACTACACGTGCAGGAACACAGGCTTCGGGTGGAAAGCAACGAGGCCGTAAGCGTGCAGGCCGGGATCGTGGAAAAGGTGCCGTGCAGAAGCAGGTGAAGGATCTAATGGATGTGATCCGGAGCATGAAGCACCGCGTCCCCCGTGGGAAGAAGGGACGAAGGACGGCGGTGGATGTATATGGCGCTTAGGGCAGCAGTTCCGCCAAGCTTGAATCACCCGCGCCGGAGGCGATGGATACAGACCCGGCTCCCACCTCGCGCCATGTTGAGGAGGAGGACGTTGTAGAAGTGACCGCAAGTGCGGGCGTCTCAACACCAGTGTGTCCGTCTGCCTGTTTGAAGAAACCCATGCCCGCCCGAACAGGTAGCGAGTATCATTGCACCGACAGCGTGAAGACACCAAACATCAATGAGCGAGGTCGGGTCGAGCTGATGGGGAAAGGCACGCCAACGCGCACGGATGTCGACTCCAGCCCTGCCGTCACAACTGACGCAGTGAAGGACGAAGCTGGTGGTGGACCTGGCATGGCGTCCGCCGCTGCAGCGCCTGACGTGGCAGTCATTTCTCAGCTCCTCCTCCAAGTGCTGGGAGGCGCCGGCTCTTTGGGTGAAGCTGCAGTTCCTGGGTTCAACACAAGGGAGCGCGGCGGTGCAGAGGCTCCGGTCAGCAACCACGCCAGTAGAGGCCTCGATAGGGAGGGAGAGGACAACACCTGCTACAGTGACAGCAGGGAAGAAAAACACAGCTGCTTCCCCTAAGTCTGCACGGGTCAGTGACGTTGTGGATGCAAGGACCCCGGCTGCTGTCGCGGCAGAAGGCAGGTCGCCACGCCGGGGCGTCGCGGTGGAGGGCAAAGCAAAGGGCGCCAGCTCTGGAGAACACACGGCGGCCAGAGTCGGGGAGCTGACGAAGGGACTGAACTGTGGGCTTTGGAAGGATCCCCTGGAGCAAGACAACATGGTGGAAGAGCGGTACGGGCCTGTTCAGGGTGTGTTGTGAAGTAATCGGGTTATCAGTCAAGTGGGTGATGAGCTGATGTGATGAATTGCATTTGCAATTGACCCTACAGCGTTCGTGACTATCGAAACCAGATCTGCCGAGGGTCTAAGCAGGAACGAGGCAAGGACTACATATCGGTGGTCGTTGACTACGATCCGGACTGCAAGATCCGGCAACTCAAAACTGGACTACCCAGCCCCGAGGAGATTGGCGTGAGTACACTGGGCTGGGGGTGTGCTTAATGTATCATGCGCGTGGAGAGCTACGAGGTGACTCTGTGGGACTGTAAGGAATGCGGGGTGGACAAATTGGCAGTGTGGGTGACTGTGCTATTTCTGACTCCTTTTTGTGGTGTCCTCACATTTCCGGGCTGTGCCGAGTGTACGCGTTGTACTTGGCAGTTCTATGGCAAGATGGCGATGGATTACTTGCTCCGCAAGTGCCGTACACGTGGAGTGACCTATTGGCCGAACAAGACCATGCGCCACTACGCTTTGAAGGTGGCGTTACGGCGGGACTATGACGTGTGCTATTAGGACGTGGTGAAGCTCATGGAGGACAAGAACTACAGTTTGAAGATCAACAAGCTTTGGGCGAATTGGAGGACGGACACCTCCACAGCTTCACGGCGGTCGTTGAGATCGAGATAGCGGTCCCGGAATCTGTGTTCTCAACCTCCCCACCCACACGCTGCTTGTATACACTGTCCACTGGTTTGTGTTCAGGTCAGTTTTGAGGTTGTGCAATCCGTAGCGCAAGCACGATGGGTTACCATGGCAGTGGGCGATTTGTGGTGCTGAGGTCGTAACAACGCATCCCTAAACCCTCCACTCTCCTGCCCACTTCACGTTGAGTCCCAACTCCATCCCTCAACCATGTGTGGGAGTGTTGTGACAGAGCAAAACGTTGGTTCTAGTGCCGTACCACATTGCGTGGGTGATGTACTCGGTGAGTCGCCTACGGACCCAGGGTGTTTTCCTGTGTTACGCGCAAACCATGCCCTGACCCTCTTTTTACACCTTGACCGTTTCCATCGCGTGTTGCAGTTCGACTATGGCCTGACCAACCATGATACTAAAGCAATGTGCTTCACGAGCGGCCCTACGGAGAATGAGAAGAGGATGAAGTTGGCAGCAGGCAGAGTGTGGGAGGTGGTGGAAAAGTGGCTAGGTATCACCAAGGGTGTGTGGTACGACAAGGTGGTGGGAGCGTTCAGGTGGGGTGAGTGGGGGCTGCATGTGAACACCAGTGGGTTCACAAAGTTTGTTCCTAGCGGGGTGGACTTGGCACCCTTAGATGAGTCAATCTGGCTAGAGGGATAGAACATGGCTATGCTGGAACCGTTATGTGGACATGCTAGTGTTATGGGCCCGATTGTACCTAATAAGAATTCATAGCGTATTTTCGAATGGTAGGAAATTCGTATTAAATGGGTAGTCTGTGGTTTTATAATTGAAGTTACCTGTTTAGTGAATACTAATCAGTGTAATAAGACAGTCTATAAGGAGAATGTGGTTCGGACCCAAAACCCTGAACAGTGGAAACCTGAAAGTCACTGTCAGGTTACCCGTCAGGTTAGTTGTGGGTCGAATTCGGTTTCTGCCCGTCGTCCGCCTCGAGCGAGCGTCTGTTTCTGCCTGCCGCTTGCCCCGAAAGAGCGTCGGATTCTGCCCGTGCGCCCAGCGTGCCCTACTTCCCCGCGCCTCGTGCGCCTTGCTGCCCAGCGCAGCTTCTACCCCGCCAACCGCCCACTTTTCTCCTCCATCTCCCTGCTGCACGTGCAGCAGTTTCGGGGGGGGGGGAGGGAGTGAGGGGGAGGTTGCACCTACAGCGCTAGCCTGCCTCCTCTCTCTCACGGCTGCACCTGCTGCCGTGGGGGGGAGTGTGAAGCGGTTGGGAGGTTCAAAGGGTGAGGGTGGTGGCTGCACCTCCTCTCTCTCCTCACTGCCGCTTCTGCTGCTGTGGGGGAGGAGGTTGAGGGGGTGGTGTGAGTCCAGCTGCAGCATCAGCCGCCTCCTCCTCTCATCCCACTCCCCACTGCCCCGGGCTTCCCATGCTTCTCCGTGCCCCGGGCGTCCCGTGCTGCCCCGTGCCCCGAGCCTCCCGTGCTGCCCCGTGCCCCTGGCTTCCCGTGCTGCCCCGTGCCCCGGTGCTCCCGTGCTTTCGTACTCCCGTGCTGCCCCGTGCCCCGGTGCTCCCGTGCTGCCCCGTGCCCCGTGCTCCCGTGCTACCCGTGCTTCCCCTGCTGCCCTGCTTCCCGTGCTTCCCGTGCTGCCCCGTGCCCCGGTGCTCCCGTGCTGCCCAGTGTCCCGTGCTTTCGTACTCCGTGCTGCCCCGTGCCCCAGGCTTCCCGTGCTGCCTTGTGCCCCGGTGCTCCCGTGCTGCCCCGTGCCCCGGTGCTCCCGTGCTGGCCCGTGCCCCGTGCTTCCGTGCTACCCATGCTTCCCCTGTTGCCCTGCTTCCCGTGCTGCCCCATGCCCCGGTGCTCCCGTGCTGCCCAGGGGGCGGCTGAGAAGGGGTGAGGTTCCAGGGGGGTGGCTGAATGGGGTTGTGGATTTAGGGGGTTAGTAAGAGGGTCGCTGGCAGTATGGTTGTAACGCTCATGCACGCCCCCCACCTCCTCTCCTCATCCCTCACTCACCCCCCCCCCCCCCCCCCCCCCCCCTCGTAAAAGGAGGTTAGTAATGCGGAGATTAGCTCCGTAATGGGAGCTAGACTATGGGGAAGGCACGAATTGTATGAGTGATCGTAGCGTTTTCCAGCGTTCTCTAGCACTTGTGCATTCACGCTGAAATCTGGCAAGAGATCTACTAGTAGAAGTGAGAACAACAATAATAATCAAGCAATGGCAAGAATGACTACATCAGAAGCTAGCGGCCTAGCATACAGGCAGATCCGCCGCCAGCGCAACAAAGTCGGCGACCTGCCAGCACTGCAAGTCAGCGGCTTGCCAGCGCTGCACTAGGGCGACTTGCCAACATTACAACCGCCGTAGAGCGCTCGCTAATTGCAACGTGCACACCGTCTCGTGCACGGCGCTGCTGCCAAGTCAGCCACGTGCCGTTGAAAGCGCGTGATGAGCCACATAGACCTCGGGATACCAGCCCGAGGTCAGCTTCGCCACAACGACCTTTGACGATGTTCGCGCACCTCCGCAGAACCTCGTCGAGAAGGCTATTAAGTCGACCGTCACACCCGTCGAGGACCACCTGGTCGACGGAAACCTCCGTCGACCAACTCGGTGAGCTTTGGACGTCGAGATTCCGCCCTTGACAACCTTTTCTGTCAGAATGTTGTATTTGTCTAGCCTGCAGTGGGGTACTCTATAGCGAGTACAGCCCAATCTAGGGTTTCCTATATGTACTCAACTGCTTGCTAGTGAACCTCCTCCTTTCTTCATTCTTACTTTCTACTGCTAGTTCTGACATGCTATCAGAGCAGGTCGATCCCCTTGGGTCGATCCTGTGGGTGGGCCCACCACCTCACTGCTTCCGCTGCTACTGCTACTCTGTGTGTTGCACGCCCCGTGGCGTGGGACGGATTTTTCATCCCGCCGCGCGCTCGGAGCGTGCGGCGGTTTTCTGCCCGCCGTGCGCCCCGAGGCGCGCGGCGGTTTTCTGCCCGCCGTGCGCCCCGAGGCGCGCGGCGGTTTTCTGCCCGCCGTGCGCCCCGAGGCGCGCGGCGGCTTTCTGCCCCGTCACTCCGCGCGTCGCTCCCGGGAGGCGCTGCGACGGGCGACGGGGACCCGCGCGTCGCCCCCCGTCGCCCGTCGCGGCCTGCGCGACCTGTGTAGGGCCCGCGCGCGGCCCGTACAGCCTGCGCGCGGCCCGTACGGGCTGCGCCAGGCCCGCGCGCGGCCCGTACGGGCTGCGCCAGGCCCGCGCGCGGCCCGTACGGGCAGCGCCAGGCCCGCGCGCGGCCCGTACGGACTGCGCCAGGCCAGAGCGCGCCTCGGGCCGCCCGCACGCGGTTCGTACGGGCTGCGCCAGGCCCGTGGGCGCCCTGTTTTCTCTGCCCCTGCGCTGCCCGCTGTCCCCCGTGCTTCTGACGGCGCCCCACCCCTGCTGCTGCCCGTTCTCCTGAATTAGGGTTTGGGGGTGGGGGGTATGGGGGTGCAGTTTCTGTGCGTCGTCCCCTACTCCTCCTCCTCCTCCGTCTCCCAGTGCTGCAGCTGCCGCTGAGGGGGGTGGGTGTGTGGGAGCCGAAGGAGTGGTACTAGGGGGGTGGCGTGCAAGTGGAGTTAGGAGTGAAGCAGTGGGTGTGTGGGGCGTGTGTGGGACAGTTGGAGGAGGTTGAGCGGAGGCTGCTGTCTTGTCGTCCGCAGCACCTGTAGTCCGGGGCGCACTGTCCTGGTAGCCCAGAGAGTCTGCTGCGCCTGTCGCCCGAGGGTCCGTTGCTCCTGTAGCTCGTCGTAGCCCGTGAGCCAGTTACTCCAGTAGTCCGGGGCGCACTGTCCCGGTAGCCACTGTGCCAGCAGCTCCTGTTGCCCGTGTGTCTGCAGCTTCAGCCGCCGTCTCTCATCTTCTCTCCTCTCACAGTCCCTCCTCCTCCTCACTTGCCCGCTGTGATAGCTTTGCTTCTTATTGTGAACTCCTGCTATACCTGCTCATTGTGCTGATTACACCCCACTTTGGCTATGGGGGTGTGTCAGAATGTTGTATTTGTCTAGCCTGCAGTGGGGTACTCTATAGCGAGTACAGCCCAATCTAGGGTTTCCTATATGTACTCAACTGCTTGCTAGTGAACCTCCTCCTTTCTTCATTCTTACTTTCTACTGCTAGTTCTGACATTTTCGACGGTCCTACGCATCTCGACGACCATCCTCCGTCGATAACCTCTTCGACGGTTCTACACAGGTCGACGAATCCAGTCGTCGACTACGTTAGTCGAGATCTGCCGCCGGCTTCCCGTAGTCGACGGTTTCGCAATGGTGCCGTGCAGGTCGACAGGGTCGACCTGCTTGCCGACGTAGTCCGCCCCCACTGCTCACAGTCGGCTGCACTTCCTACGCACCCGATCCAAAAGTCTGCTTCGCCCAAGCGTGGGCGGGGCCAACACCCAACTCCCATTAACAAGAGGGTCGCCGACAGTGGCCTGTAACACTCATGCACGCCCCCCCCCAACTCCTCTCCTCATCCCTCTCTCTCACCTCCTCCGTACTTCCCTCCTTCTCACTTCTCTTTCTGCCAGTGTTTCTCCCTAGGTGTACCCCTTCCAGGGGGCAATAACTACACTCCGCAACCAATTATGGGGGCGTGTCGAAATATGTTTCATATATTTGATGTAATTGCTTGTGATTTAGTTGTCGTGTTGTTATCCTGAATTCTGTTAGGTGGTGCACCCCTAGTTGTTCCTATTTGTACTACTCGTTCCAAAGTGAATCACACTCAATTCCAAATTTCCTTTGCTCAAATCACTCGACACTCCCCCTGGCCTAGGGGGGAAGGGTATTGGTGGATTATAAACACATGTCAACAAACTGTAACAAGGGCGATACGACAAAAACAACATGTCGCAGTCGTGTATACGTGGAGGGAGTGTGTTCGTGGTGAAAGCAGTATTGATGATAAAAAATAAAACGCACGTAATAGGGAGATTGTAGCGGAACGATTTGTTGAGTTGGCTTAACCACTCACGGCACTTTTTCAAACGCTGGCCGTTGTCATCGGGATACGATGCAGGGCGGTACAGCTTCGCGCCGCCTAGGTCCGCCAAGTCTTCGAGTCGGTACTCCAGCAGACCAACTGTCTCCCGCGCGAAATTCTGACACAACTTCTTGCATGCGTAGAAGTCACCCCAGTGGTGTGACCATTGAGTGGCCTCTCATTAAGCTTGAGCGTGTGCATAGCGGGATTGTTGTCCTTGTCAACTCCATCTACGGCAACTTCGTAAAAAGCGCGATTCGCCTGCCTCTTCAAAACGTCGCACAGCAAGGGCAACAGGTTGTTGCCAAACAGGTCCTCGCACTCCACGTATCGCAGCTCGATAGTGCGACATGCAAGAGAAACTTCACCCGCGACCAGTATGATGTCCACCTGCACAGGGTAAAAAACGCCGATAATGTTAAACAAGAAAATATAAACGAAAACACATTGGGGTGTGGAAATCGTAACACTCACCTGGTGTTTCTGAAATTTCAAGTTCAAATCATTGAGGATGGCGAGGATGTCCGCCAAAAAGAAGAGCATGAAGTGAAACTTAAACGACATGACGACCTCGTACAGCTCATACTTGTAGTGGTGTAGCAGAAGGACGGTCGCAGCAGTGCCTTGGCAAACCTTTTTACCGCCTCCCCTCGTGAAAGCCACCTCACCTCGTGAATCCCATGCAGTTCGAGGTTGATGTCACATATGATCTCCTGCAGGTGTTTAAATCTCTGGTGCCACACCCTGCTTCACGATAATTGTTCAGCAACGCCACGAATTACTTGATCGACGATGTTGAAGTCAGGCACCTTGAGCGTAGCATCCTTTGCCACCAATGCCTCCCTGCATGAACACAAACGCATAAAAATAGAATAAATATCAGCACGGTTTAAAAAGTTTAAGTTATGCATAAATACTCTTACCGATGAGCGATGCAGTGGCCCAAGGAAAGATGTGGATTTTTAGCGCGGAGTCTTGCGACGATACCCGTGCGGGTGCCTGTCATGACCTTTGCACCGTCTGTGCTTAAGCTAACAATCTTGCTGATGTCAATGATGATGGCATTCAGATGCGTCAGCATCACTTCTGTAAGGCTGCGAGCGTCGCATTTTTCCACCATGAGAAGCGTCCGAAACTCACAGACAACTTTGTCGACCTTCACATAGGACACATACAATATCAGATGCTTGCCACGCACGCGGTCCGTGCTTTCGTCGAGCTGGATTCCGATGTACGGGCTCGCGGCGATGTGCTTCAGTTGTTCCTGCCGCATGTATTTTGACACAGCCTCCAGTATCTCGCCAAACCCGTACCTACACATTAAACACGGTATGTTAGTATGGGGTTAAAACATACAATAGAAAAAAAAAATTACAGATACCAACACGTACTCGTAGCTTCCCTTTTGATCCATGGGAAGATTCGGAAGCCCAAGGTCCGCCATAAATTTGATGAAGCATACGTACGAAGCGATCGGGTTCCGACTGGCACGTGAAAACTGCCATCTTCATGGCGGTGATTAGGTGCAGCGTGCTCCTATAAAGGCCATCGAACTCACTGAATAGTGCTTGCCGAAGCTTACGGCTTTCTTTCGACTTCATCGCGGCGGTCGCATCCGTGTGTGCTGTCGAGCGCTGGTGAGTCCTGGTGCTTGCATTCTGCATATCTTGCCCTCCTCTGCCCCCCTTGTCGTACGATGTATTCGCGCCATCGAACCCATGCTCCCTGCAGCAACTGCCTTTCAGAAAAGGCATGTCGTCGTCAGCACACAAAAGAATGAGCCAAGGAAACATCGCTTTCACGAACTTTTAAATCTCCGATGCGCACGAGAGAATGCAATCTCAGGGATATCGCATAGCTCCTCTGCCGGGTGCAAG